GTGTGAGCATCCAGCATATAGTTGTAGATGCCTAAGATGCCAAAGTGTTTCCAGGGTTAATTTGAGTGTAAAAATGTGCTATTTCCCTAGGAACTCTGTAATGAGACAGACATGGAGATTAAACTGCAATAAACTCGGTGGTAAGCCTACAATTTAAGATGATATAATATAACAATGTACTACAATCTGTACATTTATAACTGTATATGTCTTAGTTCTAAATAAATTTCTAATAAATATTGATAATATTGAGTATTTGTATTTTAAAATATTCTATTCGGTATTTTAAATATATTTACGTATACTTTCAGATTGTCGCGCGCAAATCACGACAGTCGCCATAGTCAGGACCGTTTGCCACACTGTATACCAGATGGAGCGTCCGTTTGGCCTCTAATCTGATTAGGTTGATTCTGATAGGAAAAATGTGCGTACATGCAAGTATATATATATTCAGCAGACACCCCTTCCCGATCAGAAATATAAAGAGGCTACCTCAATAGTTCATGAGGGCCTCACGAGGGTGCCTCTGTAGTACGTAGTACCTAAAAGAGGTGCATCACGGGGCGCAGTCGAGGCCCTCGTGAGGCCACCCCAATAACCTAATTTTATCTCATGTAAACAGATTTTTTGGAGCTGTCAAACAGAAAAAATATTGAAACTGAATTATTTCTATAAATTAGTAGTGACTAAAAAGTTTCCCTAAAAATGAGGGACACAATAAAACGGTCACTACTTATTATTAAATAAAGAAAGGGCTAAAAAATATCGTGATGCGAAGCGTATTCAAGTAGATAATAATAGTGTGATTACATCAGATAGCTCAGACTTGATGGATATTTCCATACAAGATGACTATAGAGTAGCTTATCCTCCACTAAATTATTTTATAAATCTTGATCAATTTGAAAGCGAACAACAAAATTTATTGGCCGATACACAAGACCCTCCAGTGGTAAATGGGGTAACCTCGTGAGGTCCTCATGAGCGCCCCACTAAGATTTCTGATCGGGTTTTATTGTATATATTTTATATATTCGAACTGACGAACTCCAAACGGCGTCCACTCCAAACTGTCCAAACTCCAAATTTTGGAGTCGCTCCGAGATACACACAACGACAAATCTCATTTCGGTTCGCATAGAATATATAGAACGAGTGATGTGCGTATACTTACTCTGTATTCTCTAATGCTTGTATACAAACACGAGTTTCCAGTGATTAGATACAATAAAGTATCAAATAACGTTCTGTGTAATAAAATTATACTTAGGTGTGTATTTCACTGTTTAAATTATTATAATTACATCAATATTGGTGATCTTTAGGTTATATTTAATCGCCCTCCAAAAATCAAACGTACTTTTGTCGGACCACCCGATATAATCGTATACTTATTTTTTTAATTGTATCATTATTCGGAACACAGATGGTGAAACTTTAAAATTGTAATGGTTATAAAGATGTGGCCTTATTTGACTTATTACAATGACTGCGTTGAATACAGTAACAACTCACGTTTTGGAGCAACTTTTTCTTGATGTAAGTACATAAATATATGAATTTCTAACTTAAACTACCGATATTTGTTAAATGTCTACTCTGACATGTATTTCTTTTTTAGAATCAGAATAAATTCTACACCTATTGTTGCTATTAGCACTATTCACGTAAATTTTTGGCCAGCATAAGATTGTGCATCTATCATGAATGAAAATTTGATGTCAAACAGCACTAAAGTGAATTCTCTGTCACAATCTTATTCTAAAGGAATTCATGGGTAACTTCACTACTATTATGTTAATTCCAATACGCCTCTTTGATCTGCTAACTAGATATTAATGAACTGTTTACAGAATTCTTCAAGAAGAGCAAGATTTTTTTGACGATTTTCAGCTGCCTTTACATCTTCTAGAAAAGCGCAAAAAGATCTGGAGTAATTTATTCGATAAATATTCAGCCAATGTATGCATGTACCTTATTATCTCTATTTAGCTTTCTTTCCTTACATTATTCTGCTGCTACTGTTCTGCCTACTTTATTTGTGTAACTTTGGTTTTAATTTACTTTCTTACACCATTTAGACATGTCAAATTGAATTAAACGTTATGACTATGCTACCAGTTAAAGAAGATAATAACAATGATGAAGAAAAACGGTTACCAATGCGTAAATCCATGTCAGTGGTGCAGCAATGGATCAATACAGGTAATCTTTATGACATTGTAACCTGTAAGGAATCCAAGTCAGATTCGGGATCATCTCTCAATGAAGAATTACTAGAGCCTCATTTGTCCCTAAATTCTCTAGACCCCACTGATGATTCTAGTTTAGAAAAGCATCCTGAAAATCCTTCCAATGTTTCTCATCAATACCAAAAATTGTCCAGTTCCTCTGATAGCTCCGTAAACACTGCAGTTTATATTTTGGCCAACAATGATGCCAATAAAAAAGCATATGTACCCATTTTGAGTTCTCTTAAACGTAATAGGATAAAGAAGAATGTAGCTTCTGAGAAAACGTTGGTTAACTGTGCAGGTAATACGAATAAATTTGGTAGTAACGAAAAAGTAGGTCGGGCAACAGTCAATGATTTAATAGAGAATAATTTTGGAAAAAACGTTTCTTCAGCTGAAAATTGTAATCTGTATAAAGATAAAAGTATTGGTTATCTCAATATCAGCAAAGATAAAAAAGAAAAATCAACAGAATATATTAAAAGTCGTCTCGATTCGTTTCTCGCTCGCAGCAGCAATGAATCAAGTGTTGAAAGAAAACGCGATAATCCCCAAATCGCAAGTTTGCACCAAAATCATGGTTCTAGATTCAGTGGTGGTTCGTGTGGTCAAACAACCAACAGCACTACAAAACTACTCAAGCGGAAAAAATTGTACAATTACTCGGAATCTCTTGCAGAATTCACACCATCCGAATGTAACATGAGCTTCAAAATTTATGATGGAATAGGAAAAAAGTGTGAGCATCCAGCTTTAGAAATAAAATCATCAAAAAAATCACGCCTTGGTAGGAAAAAAAAAATAAAACGTAAAAGAAAGAGTGACAGTCGACAGTTTATTCGTATAAAATCTAATCAATATGAAGAAAAACAATCTATAAATGTAAAAAAATTGCGCAAAAGAATATCTAACGACATCAGTCAACTTCGTAACTTTGAAAGAAGTAGATTGAGTCATGATACACCTAATAATACTGAAAATTATAATGAATTGAAAAACAAATTAAAATTAAAATATTTGTCAATTATACTTCATAAATTACCATATATTTATGCAGAATCAAGTCAAGAAAATAATTGTAGAACTAAAAATACTTTAATTTTAAAACAAGTGAACAATTGTCATAAAAATTATTCAGGAAATAAGTCAGAATCAGACACTCTACTTTCCAGTCAGAAAAAATTATTTAATTCAGTAAACAAGTTTTTCACGTCAAACACAACAAATTATAAATCATTTATTGATGCTCAATCTGATGAAAATGTCAAATTTCTCTTGTCTCCGGCAAGTAATGAAAATAAACCAACACAGGAACTACATAATGAAAATTCTAAAAACAAATCAAAATGCCTGTCAGTTTTAAAACATTCAAAAAAAGAACAAGAAAAATGTATAAAACCTAAAGAACAATTTTCATTTGAAAAATCCATGGTACCAAAAAAAGAAGAAAGCTTATATCTAGTGAATGAGCCCTCAAAATATGTCATAGCACTTTCTTCTGACGAATCTGATGAAACAAGTGACAAAAATTATAACACAAGAAGAAAAGCTAACACTGTTACAGTAGTTCATCAGAAGATCTCAGAGCCATTTGAATTTAAAAGAAGTTCATCATGCAAGGTTTATAATTCCAAGCAAAATGATTTCAAAAAACCACAGTCTTGTCTAAGTGATGCAATCAGTACCAAAAGACTAAACAAATGTTTCAAAAATAGAGTGTCCAAAACAGTGGGTAGCGATGAACATAGTCTTGAAAGTAGGAAAATTAGTGAGAATAATTGTCTTGATAATCAAAATTTAGTGACTTTTGCACAGATTAAGAATAATCAACTGTCGTCTACAATACTTCGCTCAGTTGAAGAATCCACAACAAAAATTAAAAAAAAGGATTTTCTATTAGCTAATGGTAAAAAAGGTAGTCTATTAAAGAAGAGCATTGATAAAATGTCTTTGAAAAAAAGAAAAAAATCAGTTGATTGCTCCGATGAGGATGACATTTTCGTACCTCTATCAAAAAAACCACCTACTAATGAATCTGAATCAGAAGACAAAACGTGCAATAACGTACCGTTAGTTAATAAAGGAATACAATTGTATGAGAGCAATAATAATTTTAATTCTGCTGATAATATCACAAGCAAGGTGAGAACCATAAATTTTATTTCCTCAGACTAAGATTCACAAAAAAAATTTCAAATCTGCTTTGATGTTTAAAATGTATATGCTTTATTGCAGGAAAATTTGAATCCTATTAAAGCTTGCAGAAGATCTCTTATGTATTATAAAAAAAATTCTGGTAGGTATAAAACTGTTCATTTTCATCAATGCAAAAAAAACGTTCAACTTAAAAAATTAAATTTTTCATAAATTTTTACAGACGACAAGTATACAAAAAAATTGAGAACTAGACTAAAAAGAACTGATTATAGAAGTTCATCTGAAGTCTGTGTATCTTCTGATGAAGAGTATTTTGTGCCTTTGAAAATGTATGGTTAATAGAATTACGGAGAGTTGCATTGTACATTTATCCATTAATTTATTGTTAAAATAAAAATTGTTCCTCGGAAATAAAAACTATTCTTGTGTTATGTAAGGAAAGTAGTACAAGCGATAAAAACATTGCTTCCTCTGGTATTTAGAATAATATATGGTTGTGATACTTTATCCATTGTATATACAAAGTATATTGAAAAAGTTTTTTAGTTGGTTTAAGTTGTACAGAACAGGAGTACCTGAGGTAGTTTGTATTTATCGAAAAATATTTGTGAACTCTCAATCAATTATGTTGAACGATTTATGTTATTGTTAAGACTTGAAGTCACGTAGAGCGTTACATTTCGTTCGTTACAAAATATTAGACGTACGTAAGATTATTTTCTTAATTGAGATCATGTACATCACACCTTAGACATTTAATGAATTTAATTTAACTTACGAAAATTTAGAAATAAATTGCAATAATGAATTAAACAAAAGCTATTCGTAAAATAAAGATTTATTTTATACCTAGTTTCATACAACATTTTGTATACATTAAAAATATTTAATATAAAAAAAAAATTCATACTTATCAAAACAAATGCTTTGAGTGAACTAGTAAGGTAACATTTTTTTTTTTTTTAGAATAACAAAATGTATCACTTTTAAACGTGTTTTCAGTATATCTATTAAACCAGTATTACGTATGTATTTATTACAAACTATAGTTATAGTAACCAGACGTTAAATATACCATTTAATTACTCTACTTCGATAAATTTCCATTAATTATTAATTTCATAGCTGATTTCGTACAAAATAATGAGAAATAACAAAGCTAATACTTTTAGTTAATCAAGTAAACATTTATTGTAATCCGTTGCAACTTGAAATAAAAAAGTTAAATTGATCATGGAAGAAGACTGAACGCAACTTTTCACAAATTTTCTCTTTATCAGAGCCATCTTTAGAAGAAAGAGCTTTAGCCTTGTAGGTCAGAGGGGCTTCGTTCTACTACAACTAATTCTTTTTTTTTTTTTTTTTTAATATAAAAGAAATTAAAAATAATTTGAAAACTACATTTATACTTTTGCAAGTATTTGAAACTAATACGAAAAAAAAAAAAAATTCCAATGAGTGGAAATGAAAAGATGCATGTTACAAAAATTGTTTCGTTTTCAATTTTATCGTATTATTCATATCTTCAAAATGTAAAAAATAATAGTTTCTTGTGTAAAGAATGACAAGATGGCAAAAAATGTATTTTTTATATTCTACAGTCTTCTACATTATGAAGGATAGATTTTTGTATGATTGTTTCTTTGAAAAAATTAGTTACACTAATGGTACGACGTAACAGAGTCGTATGTCTATTTTTTAGCTGTATCGCTGCAGTGCTATTATATAATTGGTATCATTAATTTCATACAGTTAAAAAAATTATAACTTTGTGGTCAACGATTTTATAACTAGAAAAATAAATAATTGAAAGCTATTTTGCCTACTATTTTTATGAGTATAAGTTTTGCGAGTATTTCAATTGGGAGTTGTTTTAAAAAATTACCAATGAAAAGAATACAATAAGGGCTATCAAAGTTCTATCCGTTCATTTGCACCACTTAAGGGATGCTCATCAGAGTTAGCGGGTATAAAGTTCAGAGAGGAGCGCAAATATGCACCAATGCTGGTAATTATTTTGCTTGTATATTGGAGCCCGATTATTGGAGGTGAGACGCGACTACTAGCGCCGAATAGCCTATACAAAAACAAATGAAGTGGCCAAAGTTAGAACTAAAACCTGTCCTATTTGACTTGTTCAAAAAAAAGAGCGCCAATTTAGCGCTATTTTATAATGTGTAAAAGCATCGTGCGATAATAAATCATACTAAAACCTGTTTTACGAGTTCCACCTCGAATTACGAACGCATTTACGCGCATTTGACCCCTTTTTACTTCATTCATTGCAAGACCAACCTATGGCTCCCTTTGAAAATTCAGTATAATGTTTATCTAGTATAATTCTATCGTATAAATAGAAATAAGGAGAATTATACACATCATTTTCTTGCAAATCCGATTTTAATCACGACTTTCATCCATAATGTTACACGTTCAGTTGAGATCTTTTTAAAATTAAGTATATAAATGTATGACAGTATTTTCGAGAAAATTATAAACTATATTTGTGATATATTTATCAGAAAAACCTGAGTCGTGTGAACCTCCTTAAGCTTCAAGGTCTTTTAAATTGGGCTGTATTCTGAATAAGACCTATTTTTTTTTTTTTAAATTCAGATCACAATAGTTTCTGCCATTTTTTCACAACAAATAGCAAACATTCATCTTGAATACTAATTGTACTTGTTTTAAAATTTTCAGCGACATTTTTAAACTGCTTGTTATCATCGAAATTATGACTTACTCTTTTGGGTGTTAGGTAAATTTGGTACTAAATTTACAATCTTAAAATAATGTGTGATTTAGTAATTTTAAGGATAATTACGTTAAAATTAATTGTAAATTTAAATAGCTGAAATATTTTTTCGCATAATACAATTTAAAAATCTAGCATAGGAAACATGCACTCATTGGTGAGCACACATATTAACTTGTGAATTATTTTACGAAAACTCAAGTTAATATCTTGTCCTTGGTCAATTTATTTAAAACAGCATTGCATATAATTTTCATTAAAGAAATAATTTTTTTTTTTTAATCTCGTAAAATCTTTTTTACTTGATTGTTCTTTGAACCGCTTGGAGCTCATTCTATTTTTTTTTATTTTTTCATTTTTTTTTATTTATGGATACCTATCACCATTAAAGAAAAAATTGTTTATTTTATCGATTAGGTCTTTTTTGATTTCGAGTTTATAAAAGAGCGTTGAATTTTTTTACAAAAAAACGGCATTAATAGTACAATTTACAAAAATATACATGAGTGAATTTATGGTCGTCTTAGGAAAATTCATAATAAAAAGTTTGAAAAAAATTATGAAATTCTCTACAACAAAAAGTAACATTGNGAAACGTTTGAAATAGTAAACAACACCAGATCTTTAAGGCTTTTAGTATTATAATCTTATTATAGATGTATTTTAAAACGATATTTTTTTTCATTATTTACTGCGTTATAGACAAGTTGAACCTGTTATCTGTACAAGCTCTTTAGAACTTACAAACTAAAGTTATAAATCTTCCACCTTTAATGTCTCTAAGCATTTTCGGTTGTATCAAAAAATAAATATAAAAAATTGTACTTAAAGAGAAAAATTTAAAAACAACAGTAGTCTTAAAAATGACAAGTCCTGGCGTTATTAATTAGAAAATAATAGAAAAACATATTATTGCAGTGACGATAGATTTATCTTTGAGATCTTATCTAGGTCCGTTGCTTTTTAAGCATATACACGTACCTTCACACAAGTATTAAGAATCTTTAGTTCATTCTTAAAGTTATAGTTCAATCATTGCTTTCTTCAGTTTCTTAATTAATTGTATTTTGACGCTACTTAACTATTGTAAAAGAAAAATAGAAGGGTGGGGTTTTATTTACAGTTCGGATTTTTTTACTATGTAGGTACTGAATGAAAATTTTTTTTGAATACTAGTTCACGCTTCATCAGATGTAAGGATTGAACAGAATTGAGTGGGGACAGAAAGTTTAAGTTTTTTACTGTGAAAAGAATGTACCTAATTAAAAAAAAAAAAAAATGTAATTCTTCTTTTTATGATTTTAATAAAAATCTTCAATTTAACTATCGCGTAGAGTAGAAATATATAGATGAATACAATTTTATTGATAACTATAGTTTATACAAATGGATTATTTAATTTAGAAGCAAAGTAAGAAGATTTTCTTTTGTCAATCATGTCTAAGTTTTGGGCTCTAAAACCCAAGTTTGTTGAGCTTCTAGTCTTATCTTATTTACCTTACAGACGTCAATCTTATACTTAGTCTAAAGGTAGTTTCGAAACAATGAGTCAATGTGAGATAACCTAAATGAACTAACGTAAGGCGATAAAGCGAACAGATGATTAGTGGAAGATAAGATATCTAAAAATGTCACCGAAAGGCTGTTTAATCGTAAATGATAAGCAATAAGTGAAAGTAACTGAAAGTCAGGGAAATTATCGTAATTGAAGGAAAACATGAGGTTCAACGACCTATAGCACGAACAATTGTGATAGTGCGTTTAAAAGAATTAAATGAGAACAATTCGATACAATCCGTTACTTTTGTGTTAATTTTCATAAAATCTTGGTCGTACATCTATTTTCATTCGGTTGGAAATATCATCTTTGTATTTTCAATGAAATCAGGAAAACAAAATTTGGTATGAATTATTTTAACATCAAGTTCTATTATAGAAGCATGGATAAAACAAAAATGTTTTAAACGCTATTTTCTCTAAAATGAGGTTGTCAACTAGACTATTTTTTGCTATAAAGTGTATAGGATGATTAAATCGTGATACTGCCAAATTGTTTTATACCACTTTGCAGATGAATTTGTTCATAAAAATGCTTATTCAATATTAAAATAAATACGTATACCAAAAACTTACAACGTCTAATCTAAACTTTGAATTGAATTTAGTGTTTCATGCATGGAGACACGAGAATTAGTAAATTGTGAAAATAACTTGAATCAATTTCTCAAAATTTAGAGGGTTCCGTGAAAAAACTTCCCAATTATATTCCACCAATTTACTTAGTTCCTAAAAATATCACTCACGTAACGTTAACGTAAGGTTAGAGATGATTAAAGTAAAGTGCATGCAAAGAACGACTGTTCGATAAGAAGCTTTTTTCTCTATTCACCATTACCATTCGAGTTTTCTAGTGGCTCTGAAAAAAGGTTGGAATCTATCATTCACTATTTAATTAAGACGTATAGTAGTGGGTTTTCAGAAAATTATACACATACACTTTTCTGTTTGTAGGGATTTCTTTATTTTCTAATTTTTTTAATTCAAATTAAAATTCACATATTTTTCTTCTAACTTTCATCAAAACACTGTGACAATTTTTTTTTATTTTTCATCCATATGATTCAAATTTTTGGGTACAAACAAAAATATGTAATCATATAAAAATAAATTTTACGGTAATATCATGGTAGGTACTCATTTTTCTTTAATTTTTCATAATTAGTTGTATATATTGTGTCCTTAGTTGGCGTAAGATTTTGACTTTCTTCGTATCTGCAGTATAAATTCACCTCAAAACAGCATTCTTTGACTAAGTGTATTGGTATTATAACTAAGAAAAGAAACTATTTATTAAAAAAAAAAAAAAAAAAAAAAATGTGTAATCAAATGAATCGGCTGTTTTGTCGAAAGTTACATATTCGACGTGTTAAAATAAAAGTTAAACGTTACTCACTATCTATGAGCTTTCTACTGGAAATTCTGAGAAACTGATACTTTTGTGCCCACAAGCATAAATAATTCAATAAGGGCATTAAATTTAATCTCAGCAATGACTGAGTCACAAGGCATTGATTAGCTTTTCGGTTTAATACGTCAAAAAAGCAAAAGTAACGAGACTTTGTGAATAAGATCTAATAAATTAAATTTAGTTTTTTTTTCTGCCAAAACCATTACTAATAGTGATATTATAATTAATAAATGAAACGGTTATTTAGAGAAGTTGCTTTCAAAATAATTAATCAGCTTTTTAAAATGTTACCTTACGCATTTTTCAGATCATGAAACGCAGTTATTTTTCAAATCATTCGTATCGTGAATATGTATATCTTGTCACATCGCGTGAATACTAGAGAAAAATTTGAATTTCTGGCGAAACCAATGTTTAACGAAATTTTTTTTTTTTTTTTTAATCCAAAGAACTATACATATACTTAATAAATATACATATTATTTGAAAAAAGTTAAACTTGCGTTAGCAATAATCATATGTATTTAATATGCACATAGTCTACCAAAAAATAAGTATACAGTCCCTTAAAAAATTACAAAATAGAGCTATACCAAGGTCACCCAATATTCAGGCCCAATCCCTTGGATGTCTCAAAACCTCCATCAGATCAGCCTCTCTGGAGCCAGCCTGAGGCTCATACTTGTACTCCCAAATGGCTTTCGGAGGCGCGGCCATAAAAACGTTTTCGATAATAGTAACCGTCGATTGTAACCCATATTTCGTTCCTCTGTCGTAGATCAAATTGAACTCAATGTATCTGCCTCTCCTGATCAACTGCCACTTGCGCTCAGTACTGTTCCACTTGTAATATTTGTGCTTTCGAACAAGCGGTAGGTACAAGGGTACGACAGCCTTGGCGCAGGACTTGACGAAAGCAAAGGCCAGCTTCTGGTCGGGCGTGGTCAAATCGTCGAAGAATATGCCACCTATGCCCCGGGTCTCGTTCCGGTGGGCTATGGTAAAGTACGAGTCGCAGTTCCTCTTGAACTTCTCGTAGGAGCCCTTCTCGTACTTGTCGCAGATTTTTTTTAGCGTGGAATGGAACGCCAAGGCGTCACCTTCGTCCAAGTAGTAGGGGGTCAAGTCGGTGCCACCCCCGAACCACCACTGGGTTGAACCGTTCCTGCCCTTCACCTCGAAGTATCTGTAGTTAAAGTGGATCGCTGGCACCTGAAATGCAAATTGTTTTTTTTTTTCCTTTCATAATAACATGGGGAACAAAGAACGATACGATGTCGCCAATAAGCCAACTTACCATGGGATTTCTGGGGTGAATTATACAACTGATGCCAACGGAAATGAACGGCGAGCCTTCGTCCACGTCCTTTCCCCTAGCTCGCATTTGCTGGGCAATTTTTGGGGGCAGGGTGTGCCTGGCCACGGAGACGCCTACTCCGGCCTTTTCGAAGACATCCCCGCTCTGCAGGACGTACATGACGCTCTCGCCACTTCCTTTCGTCCTGTTGGTCCTGTGGAGCTGGAATTTTTTCCCACCCGTTTCTTGGGCCTCCAGAGCTTTGACGAGGCGAAACTGAACCTTCCTTATCATTCGCTCCATCCTTGTGGGCATGTCCGGCATCGGCTCACCTATGGATGTCCTTGGCTGGAACGTCCACGTGCCATCGTTATTCTTTATCGGTGGGCCTGGTCTCCAGTAATATTTTTCTGGCTGATGTCCTGGCCTGTCACTGTTTACGTCGTACCGTGATCCTGACGCGGAGTGGGCCGCCAAACTGACAGCCATCAGTAAAAGGCCTACACCGGGAAAAACCCTGACGCGGGACTCACCCGTCATTTTTTGGTCGGACGACACTCAAAGTCCTCCTTTGGAATAATAACTTTGAAAGAATTCAAGCTCTATACGTTGGGCACGCAGCAGTTCGAAGATTATCCTGGCACCCTGGTGGTTATTGCGCGTAATGCGGTTGGGAGCTCGAGGTAACCAACTTTTAGTCGGCAGAGAGCACGAGCGCAACTGTACTACTGAGGATCGATTTCGACTTCGTGAGTGTGTGACTGCGCTGAATCAAAAGCTCAAAAGAAAGTTAGGCGCTGCTGGAAGTGAGTAAGACTCATTGGCGAGCACTCTTATATACAGCTAGGACAAAGCATATTGGGTGTCGAAGCTCCTCCATCGAAATTTTATCGAAACTTGGTAGAACGATGTACTCGTGTGTAGGTATACTCGGGAGTGACTGATAAAATAACCAATCAGCCCCACTTGGGTGGGTACGATGATAATATCTGTGGCTTCCTGGACAAACCAATTAACTCCACTTTTGTGATTTTCGTGACTTCCTTATAACGAGTCACTTTTGGAGTTATTCGGTTAGGCTGGAAACATACGACTTGTTCAATTATTTAAATTTATGAATTTTTAACAAAAAAACGTATTTATCTGCCAAACCTACTTACTAATTAGTTGTTGTCGAGTAGTAGATTCGAGGGGCGGCTTAAGACTTAATGCTGGTACCTTGGGCAACTGACCAGTTTGGCATCCTATGTAGCCCTACAAATTTTGGAGATGGGTAGTACTCCATGAGAAAACTATTCAATAATTTTTCGGGTTTTTTCACAAACATCTTTGCCGTCAATGTCGGTCACAAAGTTTGAATTTTTTTATTTTTATTTGAAAGCACGGATAAAAGTGTCATTAAAAAGTGTAATGACTCCACTAAATTTTTTTTTGTTTTTTAGGAAAGCTAAGTCATACTTACTAAATGATGCCAATTTTAACGTTTGTAATAAGTTTTATTATATTTAAAATAATTATAATTGTGTAGCACCCATAAAAAGATAATTACACGGCATATAGTAAGAAATTCTAGGGGATGTCTGATATAGTAAAAATTTTGATGGTATAATTTTTGATATATAAGATAGTAAATTTTACTGTAATCATTTTAGTATGTCTCACATTTTAAAGTAGAATTTGATCTGTGACATAGTGAAATTTCTCATTGCGCTGCATTGCTATTTAGTATAGTAAAAATTACTTTGTATGTTTTTGGTACACTAGAAGGCATAATCTTGTACTCGGGGTCCGCATAGGGCTCACGTTGAGAAGTAAACTAGATATAATTATTTACATCAATGAGTTAAAAATAGTTATGACTAAGTTAACTCGAGAATAAGATATTGCCTGTTGTACACGAGGTCGTGGGTTAGAATCTCTTTGTAAACTTTTTTTTTTTTTTTTAGAAATTGGTTAAAAGAAATATAAGTAAAATTTAAAGTATGTGGTTTGGTGGGATAATGTGTGGTGTGATGTGGGGTACATAGGACCTGGAGTACGTCAGGAGGGATGGGGCGAAGTGTAAGAATCAAGCAAAATATACTTCCGTTACAATTTTTCTCAAGGTCACAATCTGAAATCGTTGATTTACCCCCACGCGTATCGCGCCTATAGAAGTATAACTTCAAAAATTGATGGTTGAACAGCTGGAGACGTTGAGTATCATAAAAATTATACTTAAATATAATTGAGTAATGGTATTTCTTTAATTAATAAAAGCTTATACGCTTGTACATTGAATTTTCTTTTTGCCACTATAGTTTTTATTAAAATGTAAGGTTTAAGTATGCTTTTCTGCATATTTACGCACTATTTGCTTTTCCAATTGCTTTGTATTGTTAAGTTTAAGATAATGATATCGCTTGTACGTAACCATAGAACCAAATTCCTTCACTTCGTTCAATTGAATAATTATACACAGATGTGGTATAATTACGACGATTTTCTGTACACTAGTGTTAATGGCGAATTGATGTATACATCTTTGCACGCGCAAATAAGTGAAGAAAAAACAGTCCTTGACTACTTTTTGGTCTTAATGTGTAATTAGTTTGCATTGCTGTACAACGCTCTCCATATCAGTAAATAAATCAGTTAAAAATATTTGTCATGGTTCGTTAATAAATTTACTGAGTGAAGTGGAAATTCATCTTGATGTCTCGGATTTTGTCAGGATAATAAATTAATGAAAAAAGTTTTTTGTTTATATTGAGAGCGGAAAAAATAATAATTGAGGATTTATTATACTCCATTTTTTGAAATATATAACTGTTCAGGCCAATCGTGAACTTTTAATTTCCTCTCTTCATTTACCAATTTTCTTCAGCACAATACGTTAAATGCAATAGTTATATTTTCTGGAAATGTAATAGCTTTATCTTTGCTTTATCCTCTAAAAGTAACACTTACCAATTTTATAACTTTCACTTTACATTTATACATACTTTAATTTCAGAACTTATATTGTCTTATCTTATATCTTTTTTTCTACTCTGACTCATATAACGACTACAGTGTATATTTGTATAGTTAACTTTAGTTATTCTCTCCGCTATTATTGTAATAAATCAGATACGTCTCAACAAGCAAAGAGCCATCATCAATTGCGCTCTGAGCTCCGCTAACCGCTATTGTAAATACATACGCTATTAAATAAACGCTATTTAAACTACTGCCACTCAACAGTCTATTGATCCTCAGTGATTCCCGAACAATCGATATTAAGATCCCCGCGTTCGTCAAGCATTTTTTGCTTGAACGTAACAATAACTATGGTTATTTTCCTCAAAAGAAACGTTTGAAATAGTAAACAACACCAGATCTTTAAGGCTTTTAGTATTATAATCTTATTATAGATGTATTTTAAAACGATATTTTTTTTCATTATTTACTGCGTTATAGACAAGTTGAACCTGTTATCTGTACAAGCTCTTTAGAACTTACAAACTAAAGTTATAAATCTTCCACCTTTAATGTCTCTAAGCATTTTCGGTTGTATCAAAAAATAAATATAAAAAATTGTACTTAAAGAGAAAAATTTAAAAACAACAGTAGTCTTAAAAATGACAAGTCCTGGCGTTATTAATTAGAAAATAATAGAAAAACATATTATTGCAGTGACGATAGATTTATCTTTGAGATCTTATCTAGGTCCGTTGCTTTTTAAGCATATACACGTACCTTCACACAAGTATTAAGACGCAAGACCTATCAAATCCAATTAGCTCACTGACTGCGCATGGGTAATCTTACGACAGAAAATCATACATACCGATTTTTGCGGACATGCAATAATGAAATTGAGTGCCATTAATCGTTCTGCAATGCCGAAAATCAAAACAGGCTATGCTTTTTGTACTAATTTATTTTCCTTGGCATTTGTTTATCGTATTTATACCATGTGCACATTGCCACATTATAATTTGTTTAAATAAAATTTACAGATTAAAATTTATAGACGTTCTGCCTGAAAATTTTTTATGTACGCAAAAAAAGATGTTATAATTAACATACCCTGGAAAACGCAACTAAGTGCTAACTCTCAACAAAATAATTTTGTCAATGCAAATAGATGGATTTGTTTGAGTTTTGCGTATTCAAGTACGTCAAAATAATCATAACGTCACTGGCATTCTCCAGGACAAAATATGCTTATTTAGTAATGGCAATATTAATTAAAATGAATACACGATTTCTACGCAACAAGTACAATATTTCTATAAACATGTTAAGAAAACTTGTTTGTGTTTAAGGTGATATGTGGAAGACGGGCACGTCAAATAGTTTACAAATTAAAAATTTCAGTTGATTAAACAAAGGAGTAGTTTTGGACGCATAAATACCATTGTCTTTGGGGCTATTATGCAGCCCGAGGGACCTGCGAATCAGGGCCCGAGAAACGTAAGATAGCCACAGACCGAAAGCACTTATGTGTCGAATCCTATATCAACGGCCCCTAAAAAGAGTAGCACTATTATGTTTCCCCCATGTTAATTCCAGTAAGGAAGTTTGAATAGTGCTACTCTTATTTGGGGCCGTCGATATTTCCTACCAAGGGCACACCCAACCCTCAAAAACGCCCGATGTCGCAAATGGTACATGAAGTCGCTAAGGCACAAAGTACAAACTTGAGCGCTCGAAGGACGCGCTTAATGTAGATTGGTGCCCGAGTCACGTATAAGTTTTTCTTACCAAGGGCAAAAAAAATACAAGATTGGTACCCTAGAAGTCATAATCTTAAACTCGAGGTCCGTACAGTGCTTAATTAAAAAGTGAACTAGATATAATTATTTACATCAATGAGTTAAAAATAGTTATGACTAAGTTAACTCGAGAATAAGATATCTAATTTATGCATGAGGAGTAAGGACTCGAGTGACAACTTTTTCTTTTTATCATTTAACTAATTGCTTCGAGCATTTTCTGCAGTTTGTATCGATATGTATTTGAAAAGCTTGTTATTTTTATTATTATTTATGTTATTGTTGTTATTATTATTTTTAGAATTATTATTATTTTTATCATTGTCATGATTGATATTATGTTTGTTATTATTTAACTGCATTTAGGCAAGTTAGTAGTGCTATTGTTTCGATTTTTGAATATTTTGAAGAGAGTACTCACTGTCTTGGAATGATACTGCATACAAAAATGGCAATTACAAAAAAGACTACTTCAATAAAGTCTATAACTAAGGTATCATTATTTTTAGCCAAAAATTTAATGCAGTATAATTGTATGTTGCAAAACAGAATTTTGTCTTTTGTGGAGTATTTATTACCCCGTTGAAAATGTTAAATCATTTTCATTAAGAGAAATTTGCCTAGCAAAAAAGTCTTATTTTGATAATTTTTTATTTTGTATCAGCAGCTCAACTTGTGCAAAAAATTGATATTTGACATCTTATATACGACTGATGAATAATTTTTTTATGTTATTAATATGAGTATACTGTTGTCTTAGTTCATAGGTAACTCATTTATTACTGTTATTTAGATTAT